AAAGGCTTCATCCAAAATAAATTTAGAGAGTGTAAAAGACGGAAATGCTTCAGGAGGGTCTCAAAGAAATGTTCCATTTTTTCCATTTTTAAAGCTATGATTAGGTTATTATACTGACTCAAAACAGGCCATACTCTTCCAAAAATAATTTGTGTCTATTTTTAAAACTATTTCTCAGTTTATGAAGTGAAAATAAATTGGAAGCAATTTTAGGAGTTTATAGAGCAGTTTCACATTATTGTTGTTGTTGGTTTCTTTTATTTGGATGGAACATTTCTAAAGGGTTAGGGTTAGGGTGATTAAATAGTCAGCTGAACCCATTAAGAAGAGCAATGTATTCAGACAGAGTTTTTGTGAATTTGATAGTACGATTGACCAATATCTAAAGTCTCCCCTAGCTACGCTCACAACCACACAGACACACAAAGGTGAGGGGTATGGGGCAAGTTTTCACGCGCACATACACCTACACAACATGGCAATTGGTTAGCTTGTCAATTTGACATCAATGTGCATGTTTTAGCAGTGTAAATGTAATTAAGTAATTAATATGCCTACCTTTATCGGCTACAGCTCAGATGATGTCTGTTTAAGGTGGATGCATATATTAACGCACGTGCACAGTGTAACGCCGCTGCTACAGCTGATGTCCGTTTGAAGTGGATACATTTATCAACACGCGTGCACAGTAACTGGTGGGGTGAATACATACAATTCAATTAAAAGCGACTTTGTAAAAGAATATACTAATAGTGCAATTTTTGGAAAAAGTAGTTTTGCCACCTTCTACCTATGCCAATCCTCAATGCCTATGTGCAGTTTCACATAGATTGACCACGTCAGTGAATAGAAAAACGTGGGACAGACAGAATGACTGACAGAATGACACACTGACAGTTTCCGTGATTATGTACAGCACACCATACCATGACTTAATCATGCCAAAAATGAGAAAAAACAAACAAACATTCGGCCACAGGGGGAGCCACAGTGATCGGTTGCATTTTAGCCATTTTTAAGCATTTTTCTGTTGTTATAGCGCCACCCAGTTGCCAATTAGAGTTAAATTTCTCCAGTCACCTTGAGGCGTCCTGTTCTACATATCTACCAAGTTTAGTAAAAATCGATATGGCGGTTAGGCCTAAATAAGAAATTAGCTCTCTAGCGCCCCCATTTTGTTTGATGGGGTCAATATGGAGGGGTCCCCTCAGATTATGTGTGGTTATATGTCTACAAAGTTGTGTGGTGATGGGTGAAACCCTTGAGATGTGATGAGCCACGCTCTCTGCAATATTCATTGCCTTATAGAAGCTCAGTTTTACTAAGTTTTCCAACTTTTTCCAAAAGGGAACTTTAGATATTGGTCCCTAGATTATGTTTACCGAGTTTCATGCAGATCGGTCAAACTTCCTAGGAAGAGATCGATTTTAAGTGTTTTTCAAAAACTTCAAAATGGTGGAAAATCTATATAACTGCAAGTTATGGGTTGTTGAGGCAAATTTGTTCCTCATGAGGAGAGGCATCTCTGTACAAAGTTTCATGTCTCTAAGACACACGGGGCATGAGATATGCCCATTCAAAGTTTGCAATTTCAGTCTGTTGCTATAGCGCCCCCCTTTGGCCAACTGACCTATGGCTAGTCCCGCCCTCAAACGCGATGAGCCAATCACAGTGCGTATTGCCATTCCCATACACTTGGACATTCTCTGCCTGGACGTTCATTGAAATGCATTACAGAAAGTCAGGTTTGTTCGGTTTTATGAGCTTTTTTGGAGATTTGAAGTTTAAACATGGTCAAACAGTGTGCACGGGGTACATGCAACTCCAACACAAGGTATCCTGAGAGGCTGGGCGACGAGGTGTATTTTTTACACTTTAAACCACATCTCAACCGAGAAAAGTGTCTCCTTTGGATAAAGTTGTGTGGTAACGTCACACAACATCAACTCAACGTGAATAAGATTAACAATGATGTCTACATCTGTTTTAAGGTAAGTCAACATTGTGTTTGAGGCAACATATTGTCACTTTGCTGGGAAGAAATATAAAGTTATCTTTAACATCTCTAGCTAACGTTAGCTAAAGTTAGCCTAACGTTAGCTCCTAGCTGTGTTGTTCATCATGTCACCTCGTTTGCTGGGAGTTCATTAGCCTATTTTGTTCTAGTTTTGTACTTTGGTGATCGTACATCATTGTTAGCTGTTGTCCATAGGGCTCTAGTTAAGCTAACGTTAACTTCTGGAGCTTAGCTTCATTAACTTAAATGTAATCGCAGAAATAACAAAGGTTGGCAAACGTTATGCTGAATGATTCAATGTAAATACTTCAGCACTAAACTAACGGAGAAACACTTTTGGTAAAGATGGTAAAAAGGCCGTTATCCTTTTCTCATATTCTGAGCCAAAAACCTTAACTTCTGTGGCACTTTAACTTGTTGTCTTTTATGGCGACGGCAACAAGATGTGGTTCACAAGCATACACTGTGACCTGTAAATTTTGGCTGTACATTCAAATAGGAAATACAAAGGGACCCATTTAGAATGTTTATGTTGTCCAGTTTGAAACGGTCTATATACACATATACACACACACACATATATACAAAGATATATATACATCTATAAATATACAGACATATATATATACACACATATACAGTACAGGCCAAAAGTTTGGACACACCTTCTCATTCAATGCGTTTTTTTTATTTTCATGACTATTTAGTCACCTGAAATGGTTTCCACTTCACAGGTGTGCCTTATCAGGGTTAATTAGTGGAATTTCTTGCTTTATCAATGGGGTTGGGACCATCAGTTGTGTTGTGCAGAAGTCAGATTAATACACAGCCGACAGCCCTATTGGACAACTGTTAAAATTCATATTATGGCAAGAACCAATCAGCTAACTAAAGAAAAATGAGTGGCCATCATTACTTTAAGAAATGAAGGTCAGTCAGTCCGGAAAATTGCAAAAACTTTAAATGTGTCCCCAAGTGGAGTCGCAAAAACCATCAAGCGCTACAACGAAACTGGCACACATGAGGACCAACCCAGGAAAGGAAGACCAAGAGTCACCTCTGCTTCTGAGGATAAGTTCATCCAAGTCACCAGCCTCAGAAATCGCAAGTTAACAGCAGCTCAGATCAGAGACCAGATGAATGCCTCACAGAGTTCTAGCAGCAGACCCATCTCTAGAACAACTGTTAAGAGGAGACTGCGCGAATCAGGCCTTCATGGTCAAATAGCTGCTAGGAAACCACTGCTAAGGAGAGGCAACAAGCAGAAGAGATTTGTTTGGGCCAAGAAACACAAGGAATGGACATTAGACCAGTGGAAATCTGTGCTTTGGTCTGATGAGTCCAAATTTAAGATCTTTGGTTCCAACCACCGTGTCTTTGTGAGACGCAGAAAAGGTGAACGGATGGATTCCACATGCCTGGTTCCCACTGTGAAGCATGGAGGAGGAGGTGTGATGGTGTGGGGGTGTTTTGCTGGTGACACTGTTGGGGGTTTATTCAAAATTGAAGGCACACTGAACCAGCATGGCTACCACAGCATCCTGCAGCGACATGCCATCCCATCCGGTTTGCGTTTAGTTGGACGATCATTTATTTTTCAACAGGACAATGACCCCAAACACACCTCCAGGCTGTGTAAGGGCTATTTGACCAAGAAGGAGAGTGATGGAGTGCTGCGGCAGATGACCTGGCCTCCACAGTCACCGGACCTGAACCCAATCGAGAGGTGACTACCTCTTGAAGCTCATGGAGAGAATGCCAAGAGTGTGCAAAGCAGTAATCAGAGCAAAGGGTGGCTATTTTGAAGAAACTAGAATATAAAACATGTTTTCAGTTATTTCACCTTTTTTTGTTAAGTACATAACTCCACATGTGTTCATTCATAGTTTTGATGCCTTCAGTGAGAATCTACAATGTAAATAGTCATGAAAATAAAGAAAAAGCTTTGAATGAGAAGGTGTGTCCAAACTTTTGGCCTGTACTGTATATGTGTGTACATGTGTATATATATGTATATATGTGTGTATGTATATATGTATATTACAGCTCTGATGAATCCCTCACCCTTGCTTAAAGAATTCTATGCTTTTTTTTCTCCTCCAATTTTTAAGCTGCACATATTGCCAGTATACCTTTATTTAATAATAAATGCTTTACTCCCTACACCACTTTCACTAACTTTGTAGAACAGTCCTGTATGCCAAATCAAGTTTTTGGAAGTCAATAAAACAAGCATAACATTTTATTTTCATTTTTGCCTATGTGTTCATCAGTCAGGGTATGTTGGATGTAAATATGATCAGTTGTGTGATGTTCTGATATAGGCTAAATCCAATTTGGCTTCTACTCAAGACATTGTACATCATCTAATTCAGCAAATCTTTTCACCATTACTTTAGAAGGGTAGAAGTTGTGCAAAATGTTAATACCAGTCTCTCCAGTCTTGTTAGAAATAAAGATGTTGAAGGGGCAAAGCCTCCTGACATTCAATGTCACACCCTTGTTGGTGAGATTTTCTTTTTAGAAGAGGTTTTCAGTGGTTGCTCAAAAAAGAAACGTACTTAAAAAATGTAAGTTTAATGAACTGTGGGGGGCAGCACTGCACGGTGGCTGTATGTAACCTGTAGAAATGTCATGAAGAAGAACCGGGTTTACGGCAGCAACAAAGAGTCTTGAAGGCAAGATCTAACAACAGCTACGACTCGATGTAACAGCGTTCAATAAAGACATTAAACATGAAATCACACAAACGTTACTTATGTCGCTGTTGACTTTAGCATTAGAAAAATGATTTGATCCGTCATAACACAAAATAACAGAAACAATGTCACGTCGTTTAAAATTTTACGGAAATCATGTTCAACATTGTTGCTGATATTTGAAGCGACGTCATCTTTCTTCCTAGGCCGTTATCACGCTTAAATTTTCTAGTGGTGACTCATCTTACGTTGCCAAAGAGTCTTTGCAATTACCCATGACTCCCCTGCTATGTATGACCTGTCTCTGGCCTTGGCGTGTAGCGCGGTGCTGCTAGTTGTCAGTGAGTGCTGGCTGTAGGACTTAATTAACGCCAACTAGCTAGTGTTCCTGTCCGACAAGTCGGCTAGTAAACTGGGAGCCGTTACAGCGGACCTGAGCCACAATGCTGAAATGTAGAACAGTATGGAAGAAGCTTGCACCACTTGCTCGATCCTCCTCCACTGTGTGCCGGCAGAATGTGAGAAGAGCAGGTAATGTTAAGTTTAGTGACTACCATTAGGTACAGTAACTTGGTGTCTCCTTGTTAGCTTGCCCCAGTTCAACACACTTTCCTTGTAGCATGGTACCGGACAGTGTCGACAGTTAGTTAAACCAGACGGGATATCTTCTGGTAGCTTCGTTCAAGTATTTTGACCTTCGTTTGGTTGTTACAAAGCTAACGTTAACTGAGCTAATTAGCATATGATAACATGCAGAACTCAATGACACTTCGATAACTAACCTCGGGTTAGCTTAAACCATATTTCACTTCACTGTTTGTAGCTCTGCCAGAAAGTATGGCTAGTGAATGAAATATAAAGTCGTGCCACTGTCACAGATGTTTCTGATACAGTGCTGGTTTGCAGTATGGTTATGACAGGTGTTGCACCATAGTTTGTTAGCCGTCAGGTATAAGCATGCTCACATAGGCCGACGTTGATTTGGATCATGGGGGTTTTTCAGCCCCTTGTGACCCTGGAAGATTAACGTTAAGGGACAACATGTCCAACAGAGTCCTGCATAGTGTGTCGGTAGGTTGGTTGAATGTACAGTGATGAAGAGAGGAAGCAGTGGGAAGTTATGAGAGGGAAGTTATTCAGGAGAGATATTGATCATAGTGAGAATTCAAGCTCTTAAACTCGACTCAAATTGCACGCCAGCGTACTGTAATTAACCTAATTAACAAGCACCAGGGTTCCTGAGCATGCATAGCACCAAAGTGGGCCTGTCCTTTCATTCTGGAGGGACCTCAAGTGAAAGCTCATGCTGACATACAGCAGGATATGCTTACAATGAAGATCTTGCTGTTAAACGTGTTTTCATTGTTAGCACCCACAGGCATATACTTAAAAATTACAATACAGCCAACAGCATTTATACAAATATTTACACAACTTTTAGAAATTGGAAAAGTGCATTCTTGTCTTGTTCTTGTCTGCGTATTTCACCTTTTTTTTTTAAAAAAAAAAGGCTAACAACTCTATTCCAGTAACTATCATATTAAAGGCACAGTGCACTCCAAAATGAAAAATACATATTCTTCCTTTCACCTGTTGTTCTATTTATACTGCTATTTTTTGGTGTGCGCTGCCAAGTGTTGGAAATATGGGCCTGAGACATGTCTGTCTTTTCTTGGATGTAATGGAACTAGATGGCACTTGGCTGGTGGTTTTCAGTGCACCAAAAAATACATTTAAAAAACTCAACACATATGACAGCAATCTCTCTTTCCAGGAATCATGACTTGGCTTACTGTGATCAGTTTCATGTAGGAACTATTTTCTTGCTATCAAACTACACTCGCCAACTGTATCGCCACGTAGAAGAAAGCATGCATCTACTCATGGGTGAGAGGCTTGTGCTCATGACAGCACGAGATGTAAACATTAATGTCTTCCTCCTCAGCTCAGCTACAACGTTAGCTAGCTCAGTGGTGTCAGATGAGCTAGCAGTAAATGCATGCTTCCCTCTGTGCAGTGATATGTGGGTTGGTAGAATGAATATAGTTCCCACATGAAGCTGCTTAAGACAATGTCTATGGATCATCTTGAGTAACTGGTTTTGCTATTGAGTTTCTCACATATATTTTCTGGCATTTTGAGCACCACAAGCTGAGTGCTGTCTGGTTCCATCTTTACACCAATATCTTAAACACTCTGCAACTCACACCAAAACAATCTATCTTGATTAATAGCACTACAGGTAACAGGAAAAATATGTATTTTTGATTTTGGTGTGAACTGTCCCTTTAATGTAGCAGTCACCTTTATACTATATGGCTTCCTAGCCGGGCAGCTGCAGTCATGGCTGTGTTGTTTTTTTTGTTTTGTTTTTACTGGAGCTTATAGTGTCATGCTTGTTGCATCTCACTTCATTATTGCTGGTGTCCAGCCAATTAGCAACGTGAGATCTTATTGACTGAACAATGAATTTATAATTTGATAAAGTGGCATTGTCAGTCAGATAGCTGCAACCTTAGAAGCCTAATGAACAAAAACAAAGATTGGAGCACATCTCCAGCTATGGTTTTCTGCACTAGTTTTGGTGTTTTACCATGTTCCACCATACAGGAAAGAGATGAGTTAATCACAAAACATAACACATTTTGTTTATGAGTCCAAGTGCAGTGTATTAGTTAGAATTATGTGGCTTAAAGCTTTACTGCAACTATGATTGACCTCTGTTTGGATTGCTTTTATGACCCTGATGCAGTTTTGACCAATCAGACTTTTTGTCATATGTCAAATTGTTTTCAGGGTTGAATAATGGCAGAACACCAGCATGTGTACCTGCGGCTCACATGTCCACTGGACCTGCAGGGGGAGGTAGGGAAACCCAGCTGTACATCCTTTTGGTTGGAGCAGCCTGCGTTGGCGGTGGACTATATGTAAGTTAGCTTCTGTCATAACATCTGGTACATACACTGAAAATCACAAGAAGTCCGTCGCTGTCAGTTGGCACATCTTCATGGCTGAGAACTTTTCTTTGTTCACAGGCATACCGAACTGTCACAGGAGACCAAAAAAGATATCAGCAGCGAATTGATGAAATTGCAGCCAGACAGAATAAAACAGCCGCAGGAAAACCAGCCACACTCGTCCAGTCAGAGGCTCCTGGTGAGCAGTTTTTACTGACATAATAAAACTTACTTAATCCCATAAATAAGTCTAAATATATTCTTAACAGAGCCACAGCTTTCCACTGTGCTACTTTCTGATAAATAAAGGGTTTCACTGTTGTGGTTTCACTGATGAGTATTTTGTTGTGTTTTCAGCCGTGGAAGCTATTGAGACAGAAAGTAAGTGATTTCTCTTATTTCTGAGTAGATATTGATCTTAACATTCATAGATCAAACTCCAACTCTGTTAATAAGTGAATGAGTAGTAAAACTTAAACATATATTTATTACAATGAGCGAATAGCTTGTGCAAAAGCCACAGACATCTTAAGAACAGTGAGCCTCATTTACAGATGATTTTCTACGAATTTTCTTGAGAAAGGTCCTGAGAAAAGTCAACATCAGACATCGACGTGACATGTTCATAAATGGCACAATGGTCTGCATCTGTGTTTTTATAATGATGAATCCCCTTGTCCACGTAAATTGAAAGCCTGTGCCAGTTGAACCTACTTGGCATAGGTTAACAACTGGCAAATCCACATAAAGGGGCATGACACTGCAGGGCACTCTGCATGCATAGGAATTGAAAACAAAAGTTGAGAGTAGTCAAGAATGCCCACAAGAAAAACATAAAAAAGGATGGAACACCAGACTCTCATATTTAGTAGTTGGTAGTGGATATAAGGTAACCCAAAAAACAATGCTTGTGATGCTTCTGTTTGTTCAGTAAAGCTGTATCTGGACAAAAGTGCACAACTGATGAAGTAAAGGAAAAAAAAAACCTGAGGCCAAAAAGAAAATATTGCTCCACACAGAATAGAGACACTGACCACTGGAGGGGGCAGGCTTGTTCTCATCGCTCTCTGCAAATACATCTATATGGTCCTGAAAGATCATTTCCATCCTTAGGACATGATCTGCAACTTGTTGCAGCAGCAGTAAATATGCCACAGAATCTTTGTGTTTTCGTTACCTTAGAATGAGCCATTTGTATCTACATACATCGTCTTCCACAGAGTCTGCCATGTTGTTTCTACAGTAGCCCAGAACAGACAAAACAAACACTGGCTCTAAATAGGGCCATCTGGGGTTTATGCATCCTCACAGTGGCCACTGTAATTCTCTTTGCGTCTCACTTGTTACATGGGAGACGTTTCAGTTGGTTGCAATCTGCACCCTCACTGCTGGATGCTAGTGCTAGACACTAGACCTAAAAAACAGTCCTCATATCATAATTAAATATTATTTAGTGTGAAAGTGGGCTTGCACTCAGATGACTCTGCAGTGCATGATTTAGCTGCCTCTGCAGTAGAAAGTTAACAGCAAAGTCAAAGACTACAGAACAAACTGTAATTATGGACGGGTTAAAATGTCATACTCTAAACTCTGGTCTCTTTCTAATTAATAAGCCATCTAAATGTCACATTATTTAAAGTAGGTTTAATAGCCATCCAAATTAATAATTTCATAGCCAATGTTTGATAAGTCCCTTAATTTCTCTCTCAGCCGTTGCTGAGCCAGCACCTGAAGCAGCGCCGTCACCCGAACCTGAAGCAGCACCGTCATCAGAAGAGCCGAGCCCTCTGGCCCCTGATGCAGAAGTAGCAGCCTCCACTGAAACAACTGAAACACCCCCAGGTTGTCTGCATTCTTTTCTATACGCCTACATGCATGTATAACACGTGCCTCCTGTATAAACTGTGTGTGTGAGCCAAAAAGTAATGGGGGATTTTGTGTACCATCCCACTTTTTCTATCACATTTTGTACAGTCTTTGACAGATGTGACAGAAATGGCGACACCAACTGGTGAAGTCTGGTTACTGCAAAACAAGCAGGCTGTAAAACACACCTGTCTTTTCTCTCCTCTTTATATCCTGTTCACAATCCTCCCACACTAGTAAAATGTTAAAAATACAATTTTATGGTGATGATATGTTTTATACACGAGGCCCTCTTTACATTCTAAACTTGTCTCGTCTTTGAGTGTTGTCCATAATATCCAGAGGGTGAGAAGTTTACTACGTGGACTGTGACTTTGCCCTCTGGTTGCATGTTTAACTTTCATTCACCTTCTTGTATTTAGCGATGCACGTGTCATGCTCAGTGTCCTATGTTGGGTTTCATTTACTTTGTGTCCTCTAATCTTGTATATTAACCATTTACAGTTTCAGTACAACGTTTAGGCACTCACACGTAGTACTCACATTCATTCTAAACTGTAAATATTTCTGGTTTTGGGGGACACGGTCGTTGGAGTTCTCAGTGTTTTCTACAAATATGCCTCCTGGTGTGCTTTTGTCATATTTGTGATATAAAATGGAACCCCTCCTGTCTGACACTTTCTGAATGTGTTATACGAAGTACTCTAAAGGTTTTTTACTGTTAATGTGGTAGTGTTGTTTAAAAGTGGAAGCTGCACTTTGAAGTGGATTATATTTCTTACCTCCAGACTTTTTTCAGTCTTTGTCTAAAATTGAAAGTCTTCACAGCAGTTTCTAATTTTAACAGGACGGCTTCAAGCAGAAAACAGAAAGGTTGTTGGTGCTTGTGAACATTAGTGGGCTAAGACATGCTTTAGTAAAAGTGAGCAAAATTAGTCACACTATCATCAACACTTAAAAAGGTTACAACTCCATACTCAGCTCCTTGATTCTCTCTCTTCTGAATATAACTATTTACTGGTATAGCATGATGTACAGTATCTACATCTCTATAGAAGTTAACCACAAGATGGGTAGCTTCCACTTGCTGTTGTCAATGTGCATGCTCCGCAGAATGTTTCCAGGGTAGAGCAGAAGATGTGCATGGATCCTGATAGTCTTTCCTTTCAATAATCTCTTAAAGAATTGAAATGTAACCCATACTATGGATTGCCCCAACAGCAGATGAGCCAGTGCTAGAAGCATCTCCAGAGGAGGCAGCAGAACCACCTGCTGCTCCTGTAGTGGAGGAGGGTAAGATTTGAGAAGAAAGGACACTTGGTCTAAATAATTTACTAAATCTTTTGGAAATATTAGATTTCAGCTGAAAGTTAAAGTGCCTGTTAGACATCTGCTTTTCCATCTAACTCAAGTCAGATACATACATACTACAGCTCAGTTAAAGATGTATTTCATAGAGAGGTTATTATGTCACTTTTGCCACTATACTACCAGAACCATCACTTCCCCCTGAGCCATCCTCAGCTGAGCTTACAGAGCCCCCTGCACCTGTTGTAGAGAGTGGTAAGCACCCAGTCAGACTAATATATGAAGCCAGTGATGTACAGTATCTGAGGGTTGCTTTTTTTGTCCTAACTGCTTCATGCTCCGGTTATACTAACAGAACCTACAGCAGCAGCAGAAAGCCCCGCAGCAGAGCCAACCAAGCCTCAACCTGAAGTTGTGGCAGAGAGTGGTAAGACCATAGTCCAGCCTCGGTTGGAGCGGGGAAGCGGGCAGTCATCAATACCTTTTCCCATTTTGTCAAAGTTAATTTCAAACACCTTTCTCCTTTTTATATTTTTAGCATTTTCCTATTACAGCTTTCTTTCCTGTTCATGTCTTTTGCACAATGTTTGCCTTCTTGTAATGATAAAGGTTATTCTCACCTGCATGGAAAAATGTATTTCATTTTTTTTTATTCTGAACTGTAAATATTTCTGGCTATGGGGAACACAGTCATTGGAGTATTTTCTACAAATATGTTGCCTCCCAATGTGCCTTGTTGTCATCTGTGATATAAAATGGAACTCCATCCAGTCTGACATTTTGTGAAACTTTGTCCTGGGATGTTTTATTAACTGTTAATGTGATATAATTATTATTAATAATAATAATTGCAAGCTGCCCTTTGAAGTGGATTGTATTTCTTACCTCCAGACTTTCTGCATACTTTGTCTAAGATGCAAAACGTTTTCACAACAGTGTATAATTTAAACAAGAAGTCAGAAAACAAAGATCCTTCGTACTTGTGAACATTAGTGTGCTAAGACGTGCTTGGGTAAAAAAAATAGCACTGGCACTGTCATCAACAGTTACAGAGGTTACAGCTCTGTACTCAGCTCCTTGATGGTATAGAGCCTGTGCAACTCTGTAGAAGTTAACCACAAATTGGGCAACTTTCACTTGTTATTGTCAGTGTGCATGCTCTGCCGAATGTTCCCACGGTAGAGCTGAAGATATGCATGGATTCTAGAAGTCTTCCCCTTCAGTAGTCTCTTAAAGAGCTAACTCGTAACCCATACTATGGATTGCCCCAACAGCAGATGAGCTAGTGCTGGAAGCATCTCCAGAGGAGGCAGCAGAACCACCTGCTGCTCCTGTAGTTGAGGAGGGTAAGATTTGAGAAGAGAGGACACTGTGATCTACTTAATTTGGTCATTCTATTGGAAATATGTTCAGGTGCATTTACATTTGCTTTTCCACCTGAACTGAGTCAGATACATACCACAGCTCAGTTAAAGAGGTAAATATGTATCTTTGCCACTATACTACCAGAACCATCACCTGCCCCTGAGCCGTCCCCACCTGAGCTTACAGAGCCCCCTGCACCTGTTGCAGAGAGTGGTAAGCACTCAGTCAGACCTGTGCATGGAATTAGTGATGTACATTACCACGTCTGAGGGTTTTTATTTTGTCTTAACTGGTTCATGCTCCGGTTATACTAACAGAACCTACAGCAGCAGCAGAAAGCCCTGCAGCAGAGCCAACTGAGCCTCAACCTGAAGTTGTGGCAGAGAGTGGTAAGACCATAGTCCAGCCTCGGTTGGAGCGGGGAAGCGGGCAGTCATCGATACCTTTTCCCATTTTGTTAATGTTAATTTCAAATGCCTTTTCTCCTTTTTATATTTTAACATTTTTTCCTATTACAGCTTTTCTTCCTGCCTTCTTATGTGTTTTTCACATTGTTTAAGTTCTGGTAATGATAAAGGTTAATCTCACTCACATGAAAATTGCAATTGCTTTTTCCATTTACTCATTTAGGTGTATTTTGTTTAAGTCACGGACATTGATAAGCATCCAGGATCATGCACTGACTGTGTATCTCTCTCCTGCTTCTGCTTTTTGCCTTTTTTTTCTCTCTCTTGCGCTCTCTTTCACTTTCTGCTCTCTCGTGCTTGCTGTTGCTTTCTTATGCAAACCCCAGAAGACTCATCACCTGCCATTCTCAAGGTCCCATCACACGCCCCCTACCTCCTTATTGGCGGAGGTACTGCCTCTTTTGCTGCTGCCCGGTCTATTCGAGCCAGAGATCCCGGTGCCAAGGTCAGTCAGGCCTCAGTTTCCACAATAAAAGCCAAGTGCAGCATCAGTTCATCATTCACCTTGTTAAACCTGAGTTTCTCAGTTTGTGTCATGTACTGTATCTGCTTTTTTAACTGTTTCTACCAGGTGTTAATTGTGACTGATGAGCCAGACCCTCCATACATGAGACCACCTCTCTCTAAGGAACTTTGGTTCTCTGACGACCCCAGTGTGACAGAAACACTGCGTTTCAAACAGTGGAATGGAAAGGAAAGGAGGTGTGTTTAAGCTTCTTACATTGTGCTTTTTTCTCTCTCAGCACTGGATCACTATAAAGAATGGTGTCTCTACAAGTCACTATACACAAAAACATGGAACAGGTTTAAAATACAAACGTTTCCCTTTAACTACCTGCTCTAAATGCTGTTCCTACTGACTTGCCCTTTTTATAGTATTCATAACAAACCACTGTTGAACAAGAATTGCATCATGTCCTGTGCTGCTTGTAATTTATTTTCTCCAGGAAAGAGCTGTTGGACACAGTGTTTTTGTAACTTGGTATCATAATAACACAAAACTGATACTGTATGAAGAATTTTCTTTACTTTTGGCTGGTTTATTTGTGACTTGCTGCCTGATTAGTGTCCAAAAAAAAATTTTAAATAAGAAAAAAAAAAAAAAGATTTTAATACATTTGTGTTTATTTGCCAGTATCTACTTCCAGCCACCATCATTCTACATTAGCACAGAAGAACTGGACAGTGCAGAAAATGGTGGGGTTGCAGTTCTCAGCGGCAAAAAGGTTGGTTTATATTTGAAGTATTCATACCTTATTGCAAGATGTAACTTTACTTTCTGACTGCATTTAATAAGATATTTTTGAACAACAAATATGTGATTTATTTCATTTTAGGTGGTTCACATGGATGTGAGGGGAAACAAAGTAAAGCTGGACGATGATACTGAGATTTCATATGACAAGTGTTTGATTGCTACAGGTAGGCCTCTTTAAAATGAATTTTTTATGTGGTCTGAACCTGGTGGAAGCTAATTTATGCTGCTCTCTTCAGGCGGTGTGCCAAGAAATCTTCAGGTCATTGAGAGAGCAGGAGAGGAGGTGATGAAGAGGACAACGTTGTTCCGCAAGGTCAGTATTTCGCCACAAGGGGGCAATAGACTTGTTTGAGTTTGGGTATTTGTGGCTGCTGTGAGAGTAATAATCAGGATCTGACATTATGATTTATTCAGATGGAAATATTTATGACTCTAAATAAGTTGTTTGGAAGTGTTGGATAACAGGAAATACTCTAAACATTGATTCCAACTCTCTGGAATAGGTGGGAGCAAAATACCTAGTTTAGTCTAGAAAATAATACAAAGGAAAACTTAATTCTAAAACTTAATATCACACATTTGTCACACAACATATTTTCTGAGACATGAAATCATCTGAGTGGTGAAAACAGCAGGACATACAGATGCATTGCACCATAACTCAAACAGTATTAAGGCAAGACCTGTGTACAACTTTTACTTTTGTTTGTCCACCGTTTCCACTGATGTTACATTTAAAGTTTCTTATAATAAGAATCATTACAGTCCCTTCATAGGTGCACAGATGGGTTATTACACTCATTTAGGCCGTTTTAATGTGTTTAACAGGAGTAACAGTGCGACATATCATCACCAGAAAAAAAGAGAATAATTTGATAGAATGTTTTTTGTCCTTTATAGATCGAGGACTTCAAATCACTGGATAAAGTCTCCAGAAACATCAAGTCCATCACAATCGTTGGAGGCGGCTTCTTGGGCAGCGAGCTGGCCTGTGCCCTTGGCAGGAGATGTAAGATGTCTGGATAACAAATGATAGAATTATTAATACTTCTTATGTTTAACTGAATTAATTTCTTTCTTTGTTGTTGGATCACTCATACTCCCTCTTTTTTCCAGCAACCGAGAGTGGCCTGGAGGTGATACAGATGTTCCCTGAGAAGGGCAACATGGGAAAAGTGTTGCCTGAGTATCTGAGCAACTGGACAACAGAAAAAGTCAAGAGAGGTTAATATCCATTTTGTACTCTAGCATGTCTGAACTTTCATTATGTAGTTTCACCCCTGAGAAAAAGAACATTTTTTATCGCCTCATTTCTTCTTTGATGAAATATTCTCTCTTTGGTCCTGTAGAGGGTGTGAAGATCATTTCAGAAGCTTTGGTGAAAGCTGTGGTCTGCAAAGATGACAAGTTAGAAATCCAGCTGAAGGATGGCCGATTGGTAGGTCCAGGTTTTCACTGGAGTCCAGTGTTAATAAGGAAATGACTCATCAGTTAGTGATTATCTTGTCCTTCTCCCTGTAGGTGAAAACTGACCACATTGTTGCAGCTGTTGGCCTGGAGCCCAATGTTGACCTTGCCAAGTCAGCAGGTCTGGAGGTGGACTCTGACTTCGGTGGTTTTAGGGTCAATGCGGAGCTGCAAGCTAGATCCAATATTTGGGTGGTAAGTTAATGTTTATAAGATGATAAAAGTAATCCAGTAACAGTCATTAGGATCATGACTTGTTAAAATACTGACTGATTTTGACTGGCTTTGGAGGTTAAATAGCATGTATACTATTAAGCATGCTAGTATACATAACATGTATACTAGCATGCTATTTAGGATTTTCATTTAAAAAAAAAAAAACAATGAATAGAGTCACATACAGTAGCATGAAAAGTTGAGGTACCCATGGTTAAAAATTCTCTTACTGTGAATAGTTAAGTGAGTAGAAGATGAACAGCTTTCCAAAAAGTATGATGTTGAAGATGAAACATGGTTATCAACATTTCAAGCAAGATTAGAGTATTATTTTTGTTTTGTAAAATTTTAGAGTGTAAAAAAGGAGCCTCATGAAAAGGTTTAGGCACCCAAGACATTTGAGCTCTCAGACAATTTTTACTAGAGCCTCAGACCTTAATTAGCTTGTTAGGGAAATGGCTTGTTCACAGCTAATGTTTGTAAAGGCTAGATGATGCATATTTAAAGTTTTATAAAAAGCCTGTCTCCTGAAACCTTGTCCCAACAATCAGCAGCCATGGGCTCCTCTAAACAGCTGCCTCACACTCTGAAAACTAAAATAACTGATTTCCCACAAAGCAGGAGAAGACTATAGGAAGATAGCAAAGTTTTCAGGAAGCTTTTTCCTCAGTTAGAAATTTAATTAAGAAATGGCAGTTAACAGGAACTGTGGAGGTCAAGTTGAGGTCTGAATAACCAAGGAAACTTTCAGAGAGAGCTACTTGTAGGATTGTTTGAAAGGCAAATCAAAACTCTGTTTGACTGTGAAAGACCTGCAGGAACATTTCACAGACTCTGGAGTGGTGGTGCACTGCTTTACTGTGCAGTGACACCTGAACAAATATGACCTTCATGGAAGTGTCATCAGAAGAAAACCTTTCCTGTGTCCTCACCACAAAATGCAATAACTGAAGTTTGCAAAGGAACATCGAAACAAGCCTGATACTTTTTGGAAACAAATCCTGTGGACTGATGAAGATGAAGTAGAACTTTTTGGACGCATTGAGCAAAGGTGTGCAAAGCAGTGCATGCAAGAAAGCCTAATAATCTCTCAGAACTAGAGGCTTATTGCAGGAAGAATGGGTGAAAATCCCCCCAAACAAGAACTGAAAGACTCTTAGCTGGCTACAGAAAGTGTTTAGAAGCTGTGATACTTGCCAAAGGGGTGCCACTAAGCTCTGACCATGCAGGGCGCCCAAACTTTTGCTTCAGGTCCTTTCCGTTTTTGTTATTCTTAAACTGTAGTAGACTGAAATAGAAAAGTAATCTTGCTTAAAATATAAAAGAAACGTGTTGTTGTTAACATTTTGCTTTATGGAGATCAAGTCATTTTTTACATGCTTAGCTATTCACAGTAAACAAAATTATGACCATGGGTTTCCCAAACTTTTGCAAGCAACTGTACTTATTTTGCTTCGTTTATGACATTCCTGGGCACAGCACGCAGGTAAGGTTGGGACTTTATTAAAACGTAGCATCAGGTGCCAGACCATAAGCGGCACACACTTAAGTGGAAGTTATGAAAATCGAGGCAATTGCACTGTTAAAAGTACAGTATAGCAAGGTCAAAGCCAAGCGGTTGGCTTTAACTTTCACATGCTGCTTGCTGACAGTGTATAGACACTGAGGAAAGTTTCAGCTTGGAAGATTTGAGCTTTGAGATAGAAAATTCTGCCATTTTATTACCATTAACAAGGTGAAGACAACTTGAGATTCTATATAATACTGCATTTGTGCTGCATTAATACATTTTTAGATCCATAGTTAGTGTATTATCTACAGTATATGCAGTCTGCATGCTCCCAGTTTGGAGAAGCAGACAGGAGTAATCGGGCACAGAAGTTAAGAAATGCGTGGCTGTGGATGCCACGTTAGTTTGGTTCCGACATTCACAAAATGGCACAGACTAACTGATAGGAGCAGCTGTAGACCAGCAACTCCTTGTGTTCTGTGAGGTAAAATTACTGTTTCTGTTAAAGGAGTCTGGTGGCTGTGGATGGTGGCAGCAGCAAAATGTATTTTAGCCTCCTAAAAAAAAAAAAAAAAAAAATTAAATTCATGATCACTATATTTAGATTATCTTACCACTTTACTCTGCTGTCAGACAGCCCTTTCTGATAGGGAACTCAAGCAGTTATATCACCCTTTTTTCAGTCACAAGACTCTGTAGACAGAAACAATAATTTTACCTCACAGCACCAGGGAGTTGCTAGTCTGCCACTAAAACGATTGTTTAGTTTGTTTGAGTAATTGTATGACTTTCAGAACCAAACTAACATGGTGTACTCAGCAGAACATGGGTATATGTAGCAACAAAATAGTGCAGAAACCAACATCAGGTAACATGAAAAAACATTTTAGAAGGGCTTGGGAAGACATTTTGATGCTAAAATATACGCACTTTGACCAAATTTACAATTTTTGGATTTGACTACATAAGTAACACTACTGGAAAACAACAGAGTGATATAAAAAGCTTAAAAAAAAAAAGAATTAAAAAAAAAAAAAGCCGCCCTTTGTTGTACAACACTGGTCACTAGAAGTGGTAGCAGTTTTGCTGTTGATGTTAAACCCCATGTGCTTTCAAAGGCTGAGACTCATAAGTGGATTATCTTGGATTATCTTTAACTGAGTTGATAGTCCTTGTGTGATGTGACTCACTGCTGTTTTTCCAATTGGATAAACGTATTTATTTAAACATGGATACTTGTTTTAACACACACACTTAATGAATTGGTAAAATGTACTTACTAAAAAGACTGAATTTAAATAAATCCAGCAAAAAAAAAAAAAAATACTGTGCAGGACTTTTGAGCCTTACAATGGTGTACTGAGTAAGCCAAGATGAGCTGCATACAATATTTCATAAATGTTTCAGTTGTTCAGTCTTATATTTATTATAGTGCGCCCTTCAAGCAAATTCTGGTCATGGTCCATAAACAATGCACCCATATAGACATGTAATGCAAATGTAATGTAATTAGAAATTGTAATCCCTTCTGTTTGGATTTAGGCAGGAGACGCTGCGTGTTTCTATGACATCAGACTGGGCCGCAGACGAGTGGAGCACCACGATCACGCCGTCGTGAGTGGAAGACTAGCAGGAGAGAACATGACAGGAGCCAGCAAGCCCTACTGGCATCAGTCCATGTTCTGGTGGGTATTAGGGTAGTTCATATTTCCTGCTAGTGATGCTAACGCAAGGTTTTCATGGGTCACAAATTCAAACCGTTTTGGAAATGAGAGCTGTGGCTGCAAGCTATGAAACCAGCTTGAAGTGGAAATGAAGGGAAATATTTAAGAAAGCGAGTGCCCGTCTGAATTGTTAATTGAGCAGGTCCACACTCGATGAATACATTAAAATAAGTGGGCACTGGGGCAGCATGTACAATTCTACAAATGACTCAGATTCAGTCCTTTTAGAAGTCAGATGTACATGCATGATTGCTTTGAAGTCTTGAATACCATTAAGTTCTAAAATATTTAAAATGCCTTTAGAGGACATTAGGATAGGAGTTTTCAGCAGAGGGCTGCATTACTCAGCCAGACATTTTTTAAACCCATCATAAATTTACCAACTCTGTTAAAAACATCACTGATATGATCAGAGGGGGGCTTTACCAGATATCCGGTGAGCTGCCAAAAATTGAACTGCAGTGTTGAATGTGACTTGCACCACACACATGAATGATGTGACTGCATGTTTTTAGCAGCTGGTGGGATGTGACACACTGCTGACAACACTGGTTCATTGCAGTCTAAACAGAAACAAACTATCATGCAGATGTAGTCAGATGCTATGTGGATATTCCTATGCCAGTGTAGCGTGTCTGCAGAATCAGGCTGCTGTGATGCATCCTGGGTGATGCACACACCACCTCATGAACCAGCATTGTTCAGTTAGTTCATTTTAAGGTCATCAAGTCCATGTTTTTCATATTCAGCTTGTTGTAAACATATAAGTACATGAACTGATAAAAGTGCCAACAGATTCCCCCCAAATCTTAATGAGCCATCAGTCTGCATGTGTCTGAATGATGCCAAATTTAGTGTACAGGCTCTCTGGTAGAACGACCACAGCATGTAATTTGCTAAGGTCATTTCATTGTGACATTAATTCAGGTCATCAGCCAGCTTGAAACTCATCAGATGACAGTGGGGGGTTGTTACTGGAGTTCACAGCTAAATTTTTAACAAGTGCCCTCTCAGCCCTCTTTGTTGTGTGTATATGTCTGCGTGTGTTTAGAATAGGAGCTGTGTGAGGTACACAAACATACAGTGTTTTGGAGGCTGTTTTGACAGTAAAGTTTTAAATCTAGAAGTTGCTGTACTTCACATTGGAGGGTGAACTTCAGTGAAAGTATTTTCAACAGAAATGTGCAGGAGATTTTGTTTTTGCTTAGAGAATGTAGTTGACACTTCTTGGCACAAAATGATATTATGTCTAGCTGCAGTCTTAAAGCGACAGCTGGTAACTTTTTTGAAAGTAAGTTTTTGTCATTTGCTGAAACTGTGACTATATCCACAAAGTATTGTATGAGACAAATAATCTAGGAAAAATATTGTGTCCCTGTCGCTCCTACTGCTTCTAATGGCATTTGCCAGAATCTACCGCGGCGCACCGAAAAGAACCAATCAGAGCCAAGGAGTCTCTAACGCAACTGTCAATCGTGTCAATCACTGCAAGTTAACTGTGTCAAACTAGGCAGCACTGATGAAATTTGAGTCAAGATTCTGTCCCTGGAATAGTCGAGGGATGTACCGAGCACTGCCCACTGGCTGGAGCAAATATTCTCATTTTACAGCTGAACAGTACACTAAAATATGTTTCTGAAAACATTTGAGGTGAGAAATAGGCAATGCAGTAAAAGAATCTTAATTCATATTTAATCAGTGCTGCCTTGTTTCACAGTTTGACCACAGATCATGAAATGATTCATATGATTGACAGCTGCGTTACAGACTCCTTGACAGGATTGGAAATTAAGTTTTTTGTCCACCTTCCACAATGTACAGTGCATTACCATGGCTGGTGAGTGAAGCAAATCTAGCAGCCATTTGCATATTTTACCATCATTTGGCTGGCGGCTGGTGCTAATTTCCAGCCCTGCTCCTCAGCTTTGATTGGTTGTTGCTGCTGCACCGCAGTCTGATACCACATGCTATTAGACAAAGCAGGAGGGGAGGAGGGGCATGCTTTGATTTGTTTCCCAATCTCATATGGTTTCTAACAGGAGTGACCTGGGTCCAGATGTGGGCTACGAGGCGATTGGGATTGTTGACAGCAGCCTGCCAACAGTAGGAGTGTTTGCCAAAGCCACTGCCAAGGATACACCTAAAGCTGCTACTGAGCAGTCAGGTATTTATAAAATCGTGATCCTAATGCAGAAATAAAGAGTGAATTTGAGGACCAAGGCTCAGATTAACAGGTTTCTTATGATAATGAAAATCCTGGAAAAATTCTGAAATTAGAAAAAACTTTTCTAGGCCTTAAAAATGGTTTGTAATCAGTGGAATGTTTTGGAAAAGTTTTTAAATTTACATTGTTTTGCATGATATGTTCTTAAAAATCCCAAAACATGTTTAACAGTATGCAAAATAAGGTCCTTTTATCACTAGTGCTCTGCTGACTGACAGTTGAAACGTCACTTGTATCATGTGATACACGCAGACCAGACTGGCATTGTGATCACCAAGGCCGTGCCCCCTTTTGGGAGAGAGCAATGTGTTATCAGTAGGCAAACAGGAAATGCTGAAAAGCTGCTGTGTAGTAAGTTAGCCCAGGCTTTCACACCGAGATTTGAGACACGTAAGATCTGTGAATATTCACTGTCAGTGTGGAAAGTTGCTAAGTGATGCTGGGGACATTTACTACTGATGGAGAGCTAATGTTAGCTTGAGCTTGAGCGGGAGGCTGCTGCAGTACAGTCATACAATATGGAAGCATGACCGTCGTTTCCAACTTGATCTCAGCCAAGATCAAACAGGCTATCAACAGGTTGGTCATCTACAGAGAACATTTAGCCCTACGATACCTGGTGATTCCATCAAATATACACAATTGATTGAATCACCAGGTATTATGATCCATATAAGGAATATCCTGTTATTGATCTGCTTGGATGGGGGAAGACTGACGGAGCATGACGGTGATCAGCCTTCATTAATAAAGAGTGCTTAGATTTGGGCAAGGTTGCAATTATTAGACATGTCTATAAATCAAAAGTTTTCTTGAAAATGTATTAGTAAAAATGTGTGGGAACCCAGGATGTAATCTTCCTGTTACATGTATTGCAGGGACTGGGATCCGCTCGGAAAGTGAAACAGAGGACACTGCTACCAGCCCAGTGGCCTCCTCATCTCCTGCTCCTGCTATGGTGCAGCACCAAGATGAGTACGGAAAGGGAGTCATCTTCTACCTGAGAGACAAAGTGGTGGTGGGCATTATCCTGTGGAATGTGTTCAACAGAATGCCCATCGCAAGGAAGGTACGTCACTTTGTAAGACACATGCTTTGTGTCATCCTAAGGATTTAAAATAAATATTTAGTTATTGTAAATTGTTTGTTAATCCTAGATCATCAAGGATGGAGAGGAACATGCAGATCTGAACGAAGTGGCCAAACTGTTCAACATCCACGATGATTAAGATGGAGGCTGGCACTCACTGTGGGAGGGGAGTTACGCTTCATGTGAAGACTGAACTTTGGCAGCCATTGCCGCACTCTTGAAGACAGAACTGATCACACATACAAACAAGGAGGAATCGTGAATTATGTCATGTCGCTGAGATATTTTTCATATTTGGAATTTGTATCTGTTGCACCTGCTTTGTTTGTTTGTTTTTTTTTCTATCCCGGAGAAAACGTCTCATATTCCACCAAATGTTTTGCTCATGTTTTTTTTTTTTTTTAAATCATGCTCAAGATGTGATGTCCTGCTTCTCCCCACCAGGCTGAAGATGCTGAGCATGGATTATTGTTTTCCTCTGTGTGATCAGAGCAGCTTGTCACAAGGGAAGCTGCAATAAAAGCTATTTTTAAATCGGAGTGATCCCATTATTTTCATTTTGCTCCTATTATAGCACTGATGACAGAGAAGTTGACCCGCACTCTGAGCTTTGATGCATGTTAAAGTCCGTGTGGCTGAGTTCATCTGTCCTGAAGCATTTTAATTAATGTGTACTGTTTGGCAAACTAACTTCGGTCATACATGTCAACTGTAGTGACTGGACCTTTTCAAACTGAGTGAGGTGATGTTAAAAGATCTGACCTTGGCTGAAAGCACTGAGTACAGGCAGGCTTGTATAAAGGGCACATGACAAGTACATTTTACAGTGTGTTCAAGTACAATCTAATTGAGCAGAGTCAATGTGCGCTCCAACAAGAACAACATTAAAAATGACGCTTGGCCTACTTATCCTGTCCGGAGGTGAAAATGTTCAAGCATGCAGAAACACTGGGTTTCTTTTTTCCTCTGCTGTGGGCTTCTTGTTATTAGGATTGCATTCATGTTTTGTGTTCTCACACATTTCTTATCGTATTTGACACTGTGGGCTCCAGAGCGAAGTGTGGAACGGCCTCTCAAGTGTGAGGCAAACACGTGCAGCCATAACGTCCCATCGCTTTCTTTGACATTAATTTTACATGAGTAAATGGCTGAACAGCCTCCCCCTCTGTATGGAGGGAAAAACATGAGCTTCCACATTTATATTTGAATTTGCTTGGCTATCTGAAGATGAAATAATTAGACCAGAAACACTGGACAGCTCTGCTAAAGATAAATAACCTCTGGATGTGTACTGACACTTAAAGAACACTTGAATTAATTTGAACTTAATGTCCTTCATCCTATTTCCCCTTTGAATGCAGCAACAATCTTGTTTTTTTTACCTTTCTTTTTGTTTATTCTTTGTCTTCAACGGGATGCTGTGAATACATGTAATGCTTTTATAATTTAATACAGTTCATTCAAATGATCATCTCTCTAAAAGATCTATAAACACATTAACACTATAGGAGGCTTTAAAGTGATGGTACTGGCTTATTTTGACACACTTGTCAAATATTTATCACCACAATATGAAATACAACGTCAATGTGGAAGATATCAGTGTCATTTAAATGTCTGTGAATGATCTCATTTTAAGGACAATAATTTTCATTTATGACATTTGAAGAGTGGTAGAAATTATTTTTTGAATTCCTGTTTGTGGATTTGGATTAATAACTAAGTGCTGTGATTGCTCAGCAGTGTTTGACCAAGTGTGAAATGTGACACATTATTAAAAATATTCTTTTAAATCTGTGAATAACATAGTTTTTATTTTACTAAAAAGTTTTCTCAGCAAAAAGTAACCAACTCTGTTAATCTAATGCTGCGATGAAGAGCAACGCTGGCCACTCTGCTTTGGAAATGCTCCTGTCTCTTTAAATATTCTTGCAGTAATTCCTTCAACATGCATATGGCCATAAAAAAGAGATAAAGCTTCAAGTCATCCACACAAACACGGGCATTTTGAATTATAGAGCAGCAGCTTCCTGTATTTTACACCTGCAGGGAGGGGAGGGAGGCTCAGCTGAGTTCACAGCACACAGCCTCGGCTGCAAGAGCAACAACAAGTTCCCCGCATCTCTGCTTCTTTTTCTTTTTTCCTTTCCTTCTTTTCCAGTTCCTCCCTCCATCGCTCTTACATCTGTTGTTTCTACTAACTAAGAATGCTATTGCACATGTTGTGTATGGTGTGGGCTTCATCTGTCATTTTTCTGCAAGGCAGGTAAGAGATGATTTTTAAGTAGTAGTATATCAACATTCCTGAACTTATTATAAAGCATATCTGTAAATTGCTGTTTGTTAAGCCATTGTAATATAAATGCATGTGTGTGTCACAGTGTTGTTATGGAATTAACATGAGTTTACATTGGCAATGCATTGGGTGGTCTTTGTGCTTGTTTGACAAGGAGCATGTAAACATCACTGTTCTCTTAAAGTGAGAAGAGTCCTGCATTAAATGTGTCATTTATAATGTAAAATGCAGGATTATACTAAACAGATGGAAAAAAAGCTTGATTTTAGGTGATAACAGGTGCTGAAGTAATTACACAGATGATTTGCATATTTAAACTGGATCTTTGAATAAAGATATTTAAAAATAATTTAATACATCTAGTCTGAATACACAGTATATGACACCTTTAAATTACAAAATGCATGTGCTGCCATCCAGTAAAAAATAAACTGATAGCCACTGTATTTTAAGTGAGATAAACCCTTCCTGGAGGAGAATTTGAGGTATTAAATATTAAGTGAAGAAAAATATCAGTACATCCAGAGTTTGTTTTCTCGTCACTTGGCAGGTCTGTGCTCTGCAAAGAGATGAAGCTCCCGAGCAGAGCAGCCAAGGCTCCCTCTCCATCTGACTTTCTAGACAAACTGATGGGACGCACATCTGGCTATGACGCCCGCATCAGGCCGAACTTCAAAGGTAACACACTGTGGCGTGCGGTGGGAGGACCTTCCTCTGTCAGGACAGGTGTGGGGGGAAAGTGCGATCTGCGTAACAATGTGGCCGGTGAAGTAGCACAAATCACTCACAGATGGGTCCGGAGTAAGAGGAGCTGCAGGCTGAGATGTTTTCACACAGAAGTCAGGTTTTTTGTCATTTGTTGAACTGTTTTTGTGCTGACCCACAGCCTTGGGTCATGATATTTTTCATTTTTTACCCTGGCATGTTACCCCACAGGCCCATTTCAGTTCAATCTTGATCTCTTGTTGTGAGTGAAGCCAGCAGATTCTCTCTGACATACTTCCCCCTCTGTCTCTGGGGTCGCATTTCATATATATTTCATACTTGCTCCACATCCTTGTCAGTGCATGCTGGGTAAATCCCGGCTGATTATCTATAAATACACTAATGTAACTAAAGGAGAATCAATAAATTATTGCCTCTCAGGAAATGAGCCCCTGAAATATTTAAAGTTTCGGTGGGCGACAGATGGACTACACTAATGGGAGGGTACTGGAAATGACAACATAATTTCATGCTGGTTATCTTGGATAAGTCTATTTATCAGGACACAGCATGGCATATTATGAAAAGAGCAAGCAGATGTTATTTTGCCAGAACGCTCTGCTCTTTACCGGCTTTAATACTTCATGCAGCCTCCTCAGAAAACATCATCAGTGGTATTGAAGAAATCAGTGTGACTGTAATCTGTGATGACAATCTGTTTCTCTCAGGTCCTCCAGTCAACGTCACGTGTAACATCTTCATCAACAGCTTCGGATCCATCACTGAAACAACTATGGTGAGAAGATTCCTTATAGTCCTCATTTGGATGATCTTTTAGTAACAAAAAAATTGACCCTATGATTTTCTGCAGATAAGCATGAACATCTGCTTTTATCATTGATTATTGAATATCAAACTTGGACTATCTAAATAGTGTTAAGAAGATATATTTTTTGACTGTCCTCGCTGTGACTTTAAGGTGTCACTAAATGAAGAACTAAGTGAAGTACAAATGTGACAACAAATAGCAATTCTGTTCCTCAGGCCAGTATTCAGTATAATTATGTTAAAGGTATCAACTTTGGTGGAGTCAGTAGTGTTAAAACATGCATGTTAGTGAAGTCAAGCAACAGTTGCACTCTACTGTATCTCTTGGCAGTGACACCCCAAGGGATTTTTCATAGGCGTGCCCAGAAATACCTAAAGTTATATCTCAATTTCAGGAATTTTATTATGCTGTTGTAGCATGTAGGCTAGCATTCGTAGCGTACTGTTGCATGCAGAATGCACACAATCGGGACATACTACTTACTCATAACACTACGCCCTGAACTTTGACGCCCTTGCTTTTATATCCGTTACATGGAGATAAAACAAATGCCACTTACGGAGTTCACCAGAGATGGAGATCAACCTGGGGTGATGATTATATTTGTGACAGTGAAATTACATCTGCAGTTCTCTGTCATTATTATTTTTTAAGTTATGTCCTTTTGTTGTTTGTAATATTCATGATTATTTTGTTCACTTAAACAATCAATACTCCTATTATTACTGTTCAACTGGTCCTCAGTTACTTGAATGTCATCAGTCATTGCAACATCTGACATCTGTCAATATGCTGTCAAACAGCTGTCAGCGAGCTGTCTGGCTGTCATCTGTGTACAGCTCAGTCGATGTGACATATTGTCGCTGCACAGAGGATTGTGGGTCAGAATAGCCAGAATAGCATGCTGGCTTGCATACTGCAAAATCGGACCAGATGTAGTAGAACATCCTGGTATTTCTGGCATACTGCATTTGACATACTATGTATCGGGACATACTAAATCTTTTTCTGGCATACTATATAGTATGATAGTATGAGTATTGGTACGCACAGATTGTCAGTGTGCAGAGTTGAAGGTCCAGTGTGTGGGACTTAGAGGCATCTTTTGCCAGAAATGATATATATAATATTTATAGCTAAGTTTTCATTAGGTCATAATCACCTGAAGCTAAGAATCGTTGTGTTTTGTTACCTTAGAATGAGCCATTTATATCTACATACAGAGCGGGTCCTCTCACAGGAGTCTGACCTGATATTTCTACAGTAGCCCAGAGACAACAAACCAAACACTGGCTCAGTTTCCATGTTTCCATCAGTTGGCCACCAACTGATGGCAGTTTCAAGGGTGTATGTGAAAGCCATAGATGTCTGGGTGACAATGTGCCTTCTTTTGTTTGCTGCACTGCTGGGGTATGCAGCCATAAAACTTTGATTTCTTATTTTACACTTAAAGGGGAATTTCGGTTTATTTCAACCTGTCTCCTATCGTCCTAAATTAGTTTCAAGTGACTAGTGACATAAAAATAATAATTAGCATGTTAACCGTTAGCCTAGATACAGCCGGGGCGCATAGTAGCGTCAGACCTGTTAAAACCTAAGTGAACAGGCAACCTTCAAGTGCAAAGTTAGTCCACTAAACAAACTTTTTTTCCACAAAGACAGCCTCATATCGTTAGGATAAATGTCAGAGAACATATAGAAAATGACATGTAAACGTGTTGTCTTACCTTACCGGTGTGGTGCCATGTTTGTTTACCATTTAGCTCTGCTTTCCAAAGCGCGGCCAAAATATCGCGAGAAGAAGCAGCGATCTCATACCATGCCTGAAATCTTGCGAGTTCATTCATTTATTTTATGAAAGATTTATAGACTAATGGCTGACTTTTTGCCAGACTTCGACTTTGTGGAGGAGGAATTTGATTTTGCAGAGTTTGATGGCCGCCCTTATTTATTTGAGCCAGAATACACTGACGAAGAGCTTCGTGAAATTGAAGAACGGAGGAGCAGAGAGAGAGAGGCGCAACAGGTAGAGGACGAGAGAGGAGGAATGGCTGCTGCAAGGCTGCGTAGCTCTGGAGATTGGTGGTGTACCTGTGAATGCTGTGCCCCAGTGCCCACAGAAGAGGAATCCCTCTGTTGCAAGGGATGGGACCGGTTGCAGCCTTATTTTCAAGGTCTGGATGTGACCGAGGACGAGACACCTCCACCTGGAGTAGTATCCAGCTGGGCTTTATCTAGAGCTCGCGAGATATATTTCGGTCACGCTTTGGAAAGCAGAAACAAACATGGCACCACACCGGTAAGGTAAGACAACACGTTTACATGTCGTTTTCTATATGTTCTCTGACATTTATCCTAACGATATAAGGCGGTCTTTGTGGAAAAAAAGCTTGTTTAGTGGACTAACTTTACACTTGAAGGTTGCCCGTTCACTTACGTTTTAACAGGTCTGATGCTACTATGCGCCCCGGCTGTATCTAGGCTAACGGCTAACATGCTAACTATTATTTTTATGTCACTAGTCACTTGAAACAAATTTAGGACGATAGGAGACAGGTTGAAATAAACCGAAATTTCCCTCTAATGTTGTTAATAATTTCATGTACATAGACTAAACCACTTCAGTTAACATTTTGAGTTTCACAACAATCCTGTTTCAATAGGTTAAGTATCTGTACACATGTGTTAGACTATTCATTGTTCTTCAAATACGCTATTGTCCTTTTCAACACAATTATACAACTTTAATTTAAAGGAGTACATTGATTATAAGGGGAAAAAACATTTACTCAAGTTTAATAACACCACACAGAGGCCTCTGATTAGTTTTCACTGGCTGGCCAGCGATTGTATCAGAGTGGTCGTGGCCCCGTGGCCACCCCTTGGTGGCGCCACTGTCTTTTAGCTTCTGAATTATTTTTCTTCCACTATCAGGATTTAGAAGTACACTTGTTGTTCTCTCATATAACTGCTTGCACCTCTTATAAGCTTCTTAATTACCAAAGAGGATGGCAGTAGCAGGGCAAATGAGGTTTAAACTGTAAGAACTTTAACAGGAAAGACCATAAAAGTGATGCTTAAAAACCTTTGTTTGTTTGTCTGTTGTAGGCACTTTTATAGTTGTATTATTGTTTAATATCAGTTTTATATTATTATTTGGAGTTAGAATGTGTTGTTATAATCAACATGTGCCACTGATTTTTGTCACAGTGGTGGAAGATGAACTAATTACTCTTTACAGTGCATTTTACTTTGCTAATATTTAATTAAAAATTACTACTTAGTAAAAGTAGCAATACCACTGTGTAGAAATACTCTGTTAAAATTGCCTTCAAAACTTAACTTAAGTGCAAACATCATGTGCAAACATCACTTTAATGCTGCAGCTGCAGATGGGGCTAAGTATAACTGCTTTGTATCCTGCTGGGTAGCTTAATGTATAACAATACAGTGTATCATCATTAATTTGTTGATTTTATTTTGTAATAATATAATCAACAATCATTTTAATGTGGAAAGTAACTAGTAACCAAAGCTGTTAAATGAATGTAGTGGAGTGAAAACATTTATGAGTGTATTTACAGACGTTAGCTGTTCTTAAAAAAAAAAAGCCTCAGCTACTTTAATTTGCTGCCAATGCAGGAATCCCAGCTATGTTCGTTGGACAACAGAGCTGGTTGATGCTCGTACATCAGAAGCATTAGGCTCTTTGGTGTTAATTCATCTTAAGTGTTTCTGGCTCTCCTCCCTCTGTTTGGAGAAGCCATTTGGAGCATGTTTCATGATGCTTAAACATACTGTCATTAGATTATGATTAATTGATGACTGTAAACACCATCTTGTAAGTTCATTACATAATGTCAGCTATGATTTTATCATCTCTCTGTCACCATCAAATAAGGGAAAATCCTTTATTCATGAGGTCCATGGAGAGTGTTTGGGGACAACCTTGTTTTTTTTTTTTATTTATTCTAGTTTAGAGTTAGGAAGACTCATGCTTTTTCTAAAATACCTCTTGGGAGAGCCATCAAACTTTAAATGATGAAACTTTAAGTGGAGTTTTCTGTCGTTTAGGTCACGGGCACTCAAGTCTTTTTGTCAGTGTTTATTTATTTATTTTTGCTTACAGAGAGTTTGCGTGTGCACAGTGCTCATTGCCTGCTGAGAGACGCAGCAGGTTCATTTGTTTCTTGCTTGTGACTTATTACTGTTCACAAGATCTTGGCCCTCTCACATGGTTTATTAAAATGACACAAGAATTAGATGCATAGACACATGCAGATTAAGAAAGCATCTTCTTGACTCTAAAAAACACCTCACTGCAAATAGACAAAACAAAACCGAGTACTTTACAGTCTATGAACCAAGTTAAAAAAAATGCTGCTTGTAGAACACAACAGAAACTGTTTCCAGGGACACTAAAGAGTGATGCACATGGCTGGGACACATTTGTTGTTGCTGTGTTTATTGGTTTATAAAGATATTGAAGTTGGCTATCCATTAGTGCCATTGAAAAATGAGCAAAAATGTAGTTACATTGCTTTTGTTTATTTTAACATTATGACTGCATGACTCAGATAGTATTGCAGATATCTGTTGTTAGCCTAGCGTTAGCCTTTTGCTTTTTATGAGCCTGCCAATTCAAACAATCTGATTAAATACACCAGACCCACATAAATTGCTTATGGAAAAAAAGGACTCATACTATCACATACTTTAAGAAAGCAACAATAAATACATTTTAAGTAACTTACCACTTCTTATTTAAGATGAACACAGTTTTGGCCTCCTTTTACCTTGTATGAAACAGGCTAACATTATCTTAGCTGGCTTTAATTATTTTCAGAATTGTCACCAATAGGCTACCTTTGAAGGACGGAAATAAATTGCCACTTGACGTCATGAATGATATTTTCAAATGTATACCAACCCTTTCTGTAATGAAAGAACACACATCTGTTACTTGTTTTGTTGTTTGCTTTGCTTTTCGTTAACTGATAGAAAGTGATGTGTTACACTTTGTTAGTCATGTCAGCAAAACCTACAGGTAGTTTAACTTGCTCATCCCGTATTACAGGTTCTGAAAGTACCTATTAATGTTAAAGTCAGCAAACAGAATATTAACATGTTTCACAATGAATTGTGTGTGTATATTTTTTAGATTATTTGAATTAGCATACTAATAATGAGTAAAAAGCTAATGCTAGGTTAGGTTAAGTCAAGTCATAAGTTTCCATTTCTGTGTATGCATTTGGTTGTCTTTTCTCTATTTGCAGCATGTTGAAAAATGTATGACTTTTTTTTTTGGTTTATTTGCTTGTGTTTACTATTTGCATGTGTCTTCTTAATTTGCAGTGTGTTGAGCTCTCAGGACTACTGTACTTACAAGCTTTAAACTCTCAATATGATTGTACTATGGCATAAACTATTAAATTACTACTTGTGGCTACATATTTTGTGTCAGTTACTTATAACTGTAACAATTTTAATTCCTAATTATAACTTAATTCCATACTTTAGGACTACCGGCTCAATGTATTTCTGCGACAGCAGTGGAATGACCCTCGACTGGCATATAAGGAGTATCCAGATGACTCTCTGGATCTGGACCCTTCGATGTTGGACTCCATTTGGAAACCTGACCTGTTCTTTGCAAATGAAAAGGGAGCAAACTTTCACGAGGTTACAACAGACAACAAACTGCTTCGGATATTCCAGAATGGGAACGTCCTCTACAGCATCAGGTGATCTTGTTGTTGAATAATGCAGCAGGATTTACTTCTATCAGATATTATAAATCCACTTCCATGGTTTGTCAAGTGGCCAGCTGAATATAAACTTCTATCTATGAGATGTATGAGCCACTAAGTATATGTTCCAACAACATGTTTGTTTCACTCCAGTTCAGTTCAGCTGTCATTGTGTTGTCCAGCACCCACTGTGAATAATAACTGCAGGCTAAAACAGAATCAGGTCAGTAATGTGGCACTAAAGCTGTGGTGAATTGTAGCGTAATGGTTTTCATTAGAATATATGAAAGATGAAGCAATGTTTAAAGCTCTATTAGCAATTATGTTAAGCATGAACAAAATGATCAGCTGCCTCTCTGGTTACTGAACCTTTAATGTAATAGCTAAACTTGGGAAATGAATAACTAACTAAATGACCACTTAGTGACTTTAATTATTAGTTTCACTAAATAAACAGGGCCAGAAAGTTTGAAACTGTGAAAAATAAATAAATATATTTCTATAAATTTATTATTGCCCTTCATTCACTTACTCACATATGGTTAGCCACTGTGTCTATTGGACGACACTGAATCCAGATTACTTGCTTTCCTCCTCTCTGCAGTATTGCTCATTTTGTGAGACTCTTCACTTTGTCCTTGCTGGAATAAAGAGTAGGGGTCCTTAAAAATGAGTGGCGAAAGACATCATGGCTCAACAAAAAGAGCAGCGGCAGCAACAGATACTCAGTGATTAGACGTCAGTAAAGTCCTTGCCAAGACTTCAACTGAGGAATGGGATGTTCTTTTTTCTTGACCTCTATGTCTTGTAAGGGGGGAGTACTCTTCTATTTTTGCCAATTGTGCTGCCGTGTTCTCAACCCACTTTATGTCAAGCCCTCCATACAGGCTGACATATTGTCTGTCAGCACCTGTCAGTCCTTTGTGCGGTTTGCGTGGGGTGCAGTGAGGTATAAAGATGGAGAGGAGGACAGGTGTCAGAGAGGTTAGAGCTGCTTGATGTGACCCTTAATGTAGGGTGAGTGTGCAGAAAGACTTTGAGTGAAACATAAGCAGGAGATGGCTGGTGCTGTGGGTTTAGTGCTGCTGGCTAGCTGGGGATCTACTCATGGATTGCAGTGTGAGGGTATCACCTTTTCATTGTACACACCATCCCAGTGCCATTACAGTGTTGCTGTCTCTGTTTTCCAGGCTGACCCTTACCCTTTCCTGTCCTATGGATCTGAAGAACTTCCCCATGGACAGCCAGACGTGTACGATGCAGCTCGAAAGCTGTGAGTTCATCCTTTAAAGCAGGCTTGAGAGCATTAAAGATACAGTATTTTACATTTAGTATTTTTTTTATTGCCAATGGGTGAAGATATTGTAACATAACTTAAAAAAGAGACAGCTTGTGGACTAACTTCTATGTAAAGGACTTGGGAAGATATTTTATTTCCGATATTTTCTGGGAAACCCGAAGGATGTGATGAATTTTAACCAAGAAATTCTGGCAGAAAGCCCTCAAGGCAACTTCTCCCAACAGTGTGCTGCATCTCTTTTCAGCTCTGTACAGTGCTAACAGCTTTAACGTTAGCTAAGAAATGGAGTCCGCTAATGTCAACAAATGACCAGCACCCACCACACACGTGTTTCCATTGTGTACATTTGGCAACAGCAGCCTGCAGACTTTCGTTTGGGCGTTCATTTACTGCTGAGGTTTGCGCTGGCTGGATTTGAGCTGTTACAGCCGCTGACTGAGGGTCTGTCTTTGCAGCTGCCGCCCTGTTCCTCTGGGGGATGTTATTTCTTAGCAGTGGGTGTGAAGTGCGCTAGCTAATTCTTGGCTCATTTGTAGTCTAAAAAAACATTAAATAAATCACACTCATATCATAATTTCATTGCCCCCTGTGTGAAAAAGATTCCAGAGGAAACACTGACATGTTAAATGTATTGTAATATTGTGGTGTTAGCTGGCTAATGTTAGCTAACCTTGGTTTGCTTGCCAATGTGGGCAAATTGCTAACAAGAAAATGTAGCAAAATACTGTACTGAGTGGATAAATTCAGCTAATTTATCCATACTTGTGGGGCTGCAAATTACTATTATTATTATTATATATTATTATATATTATCAGCTACAAAGCAACCAACAGCAGATCCATGTAGCATAGCTAAGTTACAGCGACCTGGGCAGCCAATGACTGTAACCAGTGCTAAGGTTAGCCAGCTAGCTGTAAAGCTACGCTGCATCAATCTGCCTATGGTTGTTTTGTAATGTCAGCTGATAGTTGGTAATTTGCAAAAAGCGAGACAGTATCATGGTGCAGATATGGTCCAAATGAAATCTTGTTAGTCACTGTTGTGGCCCATGCAGGTGTTGGCTTGCAGCTACAGGGGATGCCACAGTTCACTTAATGGCCTTAGAGAGAGGTGTCACTGAAACTTCCTGAAAGTTACACACAGAACCTTAAATATAGATTTTATCATAAACTCATTATGTGCCATATAGTACCTTCTCTCTGTCTCTTTTCTAGTTGGCTACACCATGAATGATCTCATTTTTGAATGGCTGGATGTGGGAGCGGTGCAGGTGGCTGATGATCTGACGCTCCCTCAGTTTGTGCTAAAAGAGGAGAAAGGCCTCGGCTACTGCACCAAGCACTACAACACAGGTATATGACACACGACGACCTGCCAGCCAACATCCTTGACAGATACTGTCAATCAACTTCTAATAAGACTGTCAGTTTGCACCTGTATCTCCTCCTGTGGTTAGGTAAATTCACCTGCATCGAGGTCAAATTCCACCTGGAGCGTCAGATGGGCTACTACCTGATCCAGATGTACATACCGAGTCTGCTCACCGTCATCCTGTCCTGGGTGTCCTTCTGGATCAACATGGATGCAGCTCCGGCCAGAGTGGGACTGGGGATCACTACAGTGCTCACCATGACGACGCAGAGCTCAGGCTCCAGGGCCTCCCTGCCAAAGGTCAGACAGTTTGGTTTGTGACACTCAACATTAGAAAATCAAGTTAGTCATTATTTTTTATACATTCTGGGATGATTTCAGGAGGAAAAGGTGCATTGAAGTTTTCTAATTTACAATGTTTTAATGTGTTTATTATTATTGAGAGCAGAGGTGGTAATAATTTTAAGAAAGTACAAGTTTTAAAAAGCCTATACTCATGGCATAAAGGGTGTCACTTTGTGTTGGAAAGTGGCGGGGACAAAAGGGGTCAGATGAAAAACGTTTTTTAAATGGTCATAAGTGATTTCAGGCAATGTAATGGAGGGATTGGTATGAGGTCAGAGTAGATAATTACTGCGGTTTGGCCGCTGTAATTATATCTGACCATTGAATAAGAACAGGGGGTCCAGGGGTCCTCACCCACAAAATTATGAGTGTCAAACACATGTCCTGCATTCTGGTGAAATTTTGTGCAGCAATTTATAGTTGGAATGTCTTTATTCATGTAAAGGAAAACACATAATTCAGATGGCAGATGACAGTTTAAATATAAAAATGTAATGGAATATTAAGCAAAATTTGAATTGCTTTCAAATATGTTGTCACTGCTGAGTCAACACACATGTAGGCATCATTTACTCTTCCATCCTCCAGCAGGGTTGTATGAGGAACTTGTCCATAGTCAGTGTATTACCTATAATGGATGTCAGTCAGCAGGGCCCCAGTTTGGAGAAGCAGGAAAGCAGATTGACATAAAAGCCAAACAATGAACTGCTGTGGATACAGCAATAAAACGTATTTTAGCCACTTAAAAAAGGCCCACCTAAAACAATCAGTATCAGTTTAAGTATGCACTATATTAAGAGTATTTTCACTTTTCCATCAGACAGCAATTTCTGATGGGGAACTGAAGCCATTATATTGTCCTCTTCAAAGCCAGACTCCATTGAGGAAAACAGTGATTTAATGTCCCTGAACACTGGAGCTGCTGGTCTACCGCTGCCTCAATCAGTTATTTTGGAAGGGTTATTGTGTGACTTTGCTGTTTATAGTGATTAGTTTGGATTCACCAAAGTCACACAATAACACAAACTTACTAACTGAGCAGCTGTAGACCAGCAGCTTCTATTTTAAGCAAGCCAAAATGACTGTTTTTTATCAATGGAGTCTGGTGCCCTTAGCTGTGGAACTAATGACTTCCCCATTGGAATGGGCTGTCTGACCAAAAGGTAGAGTGCCATCTACTGTAGGTAATATGCTGACTATGGACAAGTACTGCATACAACCCCACTTCTAAAATCTACACTATCTCTTTAATAGCTCATAGGTATTGTCATGTTTACAGAGAACAAATGGACAAAATGCAGTTTAATTAAATTGCCGATCGGCACATGTGTGGTTTTGGGTCATTTTGGAATCAGTTGGCTAGAAGGGCTTATTATTTTTTGTTTACCTTTGGACAGTGTACTTTTGATTTTCCATACTTGCATTGCATTGTATATTTCCTCATTGTGCAAACGCTTTCAAAAAGTCATGGGGACAAAATCAGCCAAGTGGTGGGGACATGTTGCCAGCACTCCCAGTGTCAGTGACACTTATGCATGATGTAGGTCCAGGCAGGAGTTTGAAGGCCTTTGCTATGCTCAGTGCTGGCTTTCTAATTAGGCAGGGGTACAACTTTAAATTGAGCCATTTCAGTTTTTGAACACAGGTGCATACCTATTTGTTCCAGTCAGTTCAATCCCAAATTTTATTCATGATGCACTGAGCCGTGATAGGCCGTTTAATGCCCCAGAAATTGAAATAGAAAGGACTACATGCATGGTTAGAATTGCAGTACTGAGAGAAGGATGCAGATCATTTTCCTTAAATAAAAGTAGTTATACCACAATGTGAAAAGACTTCACCACAAGAAAAAGCAAGACTATTAAAAAGCACTGATTATTCCCCAAACTGTATCAAAAGTAAAATAACTGGTGCAGTGTCCCTTTTCAGAGTATTACATTATTATTATTCCTGTGGTGTTATTAGTACAGTTGTTGCATCTTTATACGTGTTAATGCATCAATAATAATGATGCTTTGAAGAAAATGTAACATATGTTGAATCTAACTTGTAGTGGAGTATCTTTATAATCTAGTTTTGTAAAGTTTAGTTAAGTTATACTTCTTCCACCTCTGTTTAATATCAATGAAGATCCACAAAGTAATCCAACATGTAACTCTTGACATGGAGTCATAATCTCATGTCTTTCATGTCACTGGCTAACATGGCATGAACGCTAATATTTACTGAGTGACTTCCCTAATTTGATTTTCACGGTTTCGCAGGTGTCCTATGTGAAAGCCATAGACATTTGGATGGCGGTGTGTCTTCTCTTCGTGTTTGCTGCACTGCTGGAGTATGCAGCCGTTAATTTTGTTTCACGCCAGCACAAGGAGTTCTTCAGGCTGAGGAAGAAGCTCAAAGAGCAACAGCGGCAGAGAGCTGTGAGTGCAACCCACCCACTCAGCCCCTCGGGCAGCTGTCACCTGCTATTCCCTGCGCCCAGCTATGCACGAGCTACACAACTCAGCTGCATGTTGCACTCCAGCCGGGAAATGCAGACAGCACTGACCTGTAATTAATTCAAGCCATCACCTTATTCCACTGTTCTCCACATCTTGCGGCCTCATGTGGAGAAGAAAAACACTGGAGACAAAACAGGCCAACGCACCTTTTAAATATAAAATATTTCTTAAATGAAGCAGTGTGACAGCAGCTGCAGGACTCATTAATACCTTGTAATATTTATAACGCAATACACAAAACATCTGCTTGAGTCCTTTGTACTTATTCATTTGTTGGGATTATGCAACGCCATTGAAATTTGCTCTGACTTCATCTCCAAGTGGTCTCATTTCACATTAATGTCAGACCTGTATTCACTTTGTCAGAAACAGATGATGATTGCTTGTTAATGAGGATTTGAAAGACACATGCAGCATACAGGAGCTGTGTCATGACTTTTCCATCATGCAGTCTATTTGATGATTCAATATATGTGCTGCTTTTCCTCCCATCAGCAGGGAAGTGGTGACAGTAAGGTGAAAGGAAAAAACATGTCAGGCAACAATGCTCCTCATGGGAACGTAGTCCAGCAGTGCAGTGCCTGTGCCAGGGTATGTACCGTCGCCTTGTTTAGTTAAACACCAGCCAGCCAATCACTGGCATCAGTGAAGCTGTGTGATTCTCACTGAGAGCAGATGGTTATTATGTGCTGTGTCTTTTTCTTCCCAGGAGGAGGAGCTGGCACAGCAGGGTTTACTCTTCCAGAGTTATGGACTTGCCCTGGCAGCAGGGACCGCACAGGAAATGGATGCAACGCCGGTCTTCGCAGATTTACCTCCTGGTTTAGGTTTCTATGATATTCGCAGGCGCTTTGTGGATCGAGCAAAAAGGATTGATACCATTGCCCGAGCTGTTTTCCCCATGAGCTTCCTCATGTTTAATGTCCTCTACTGGCTTACCTACAAAGTTCTACGACATGAAGACCTTCTAGCCACGCTGTGATGACACAACGAACGAGGACCATAAAGACACTGGATACCTTTATTTCTGCTCTCTTCACTGAAACATTTACAGGCTGAGAGTCCTCAGCTGAGCCATGCAAGATACATTGTGACTGCATGTCCAGTGTCATTGGGACATTCCAAGGCATGGAAGAGTCCATCAGTTTCTTTACATTTTTAATACCTCCAAAGAAATGCACTTTGCCTCAGCACTGATGCTTTATACATCACACCTCAGTGTACAGTATGTGTGTATAGTCAGCATCTTTAAGGTCCAGTGTGTAACATTTAGGGGAATTTAGTGACATCTAGTGGTGAGGATTGCAGATTGCAACCAACTGAAATTTCTCCTGGTTAGAATTCCTTCAATGTTCATTGTTCAGGAGGTTTTTACCAGGAGCCAATTTATTTGCAGAGGTCTCCTCATCTCCTAAACCATCAGACCAGGTGATTTAAACCAGTAAAAACACTGAATAAAGCAGTTACACGTTACAAATCAGTGTTTTCCAATGTTGTTCGGCTCGTCAGAGACAGGCCACGAGCCCAGCATTAACGTTAGGCAATTATACATGAAAGAAAACATAATTATTATATTATATTCCACTTCTGCCAATATAACCCCTTAAATCCTCCACCCTTGCCCTTTAAGATTATTATCTCACACTTTTTTGGGGAAAAAATATCCGTATGTGCAGTTACTGTAGCTTCACTGTAGCACATTCTTAGCACGCCTGTATTTTGTTTATTGTTATTTAACTGGTGCAGTGGTCAACAGTGTCCAGAGCCACAGGTTTCATACAAAACAAATATCACTACGGGCAGGAATTACACTGTGAAACAGCAGCGACTCTGCTGTGTCTCTCACCTCAAGTGACACTTTACAGGCATCAAAATGTTTTGTTTCTATGCAGGCTGCAGAAATCTCAGATTGAATGCTATTTTGTAATGGCATGACTATTTTATCATAACGTAATATTTATCAGTTCACATTTTAGACCCTCCCATAGAAAGCCTGTCTGTAATAAAGAATGGAATAATCTGTTTATGCGTTTCAAATTTAAATTAAGGCATTTAATGCCTAAAAAACTGATGGACAAATTGTCCAGAAATTTTTAGGCATCACTATTGTACTGATATAATGGCATGGCACACACATTACTTTTATCATTATTCAGCCATGTCAGTCATCGGTTAAAGGCTTCAGTTTCGTTCTTGTATATTGGCCAAAGATTTATATTATCAAGTGTGCATGAGAACAGTTATCAAAACATATTGCTTAACTTGAGTTCTCCTGAGGCCTGCACAATGGGTGTTGTATTGGTGTTTAACAAAGCCCAGCTATGTTACACACAGAGTATTTTTTTCTTTAGAAACAAAAGTATCCCTGAAATAATTTGTTGCTCAATATGAAATAAAGAAATGGTTTAATTTGAAATACTTACTGTATTGTTGTGTAACCTTTCTTATAAACAATTATGATTTAAAATGATCTGCTCATTTTAACCCTGACTTGTAATGTCAGACAATCCAAAGGTTTACGCTTAGCCTAATTATCAGCTGTGATATTCAAATGTTCAAACTATGACGTTCTCTAAAGCCAGAACTAGATTTGTCTTGCCTCTGATACTTTTCTTTGTCAAGTTTATTCTCAGTACTCACTCTTCTTTTATGAGGCAAAAGTGCAAAATGTCACTGCAATAACTGTTTTGAAGTGATTTGCTCAGTACCTCACACTGTTTGGGTTTTTGACATATTTCAAAATTAGCATTTGTGTGTACACATGCCTGGAGACTGGGACCATCTCTTATAACCAAGTCTCATTTTAAAAATATATCTTGTTATCAAGTTAAGATGTCATATTAAAGGTAGTTGTCACATGCATACAGTCATGGGTGTATTACCGGACGGGTCTACCAGGCCCACACCCAGGGGTCCCTAAACCAGAGCCTCTGCATGAAGTCGCTGTTATTAACTTTCCATTTCTTGTCAAAAAGCTGAGTCATCATGTGAATAACAGAGCCCCAAAAGTCCTTAAAAAATAAAATATACAGCAGAAGAAGCAGGGCTGCATACATCAGCACTGTGGGGTCTGTTTGAAACATAAATGGACTTTTTCTGTTAATGGTAGCGAGGAAATGATGAGGAGGAACCTTGGTATTCCACTTTTAAAGAGTTTACAGACATAAAGGCACAAATAAAAAACAAAACACATTTGATTAAAAAAGGGATTTTTTATTAAAGACTATAAGATTTACATGTATATGGTTGCTGAAGTAGATACATACATCATTACAAAGAAACCGCCTCACATGTCGATACAGCTTTACTTTAATTTATTCTGCATCATTAAACTTCTCTTCATCAGTCACAACACTATGAATATTCAAATGTGACAAGCAGAACTTAGCTCCTACCAGAGACTCGTGAAAGTTTGCTACACTCATGGAGCACATTTGTTCTGACTGCAAAATGTATTATTGAACTTTGACTGCATCTCATGGTGCTGTGTGAACAAAGCCTGACCCTTTGTATCTGTCACCACAAGAGGGTGCTGTTGACTGTTTTATGTCCCATGTGAGCAGCGTTGCACTCTGCCACGCACAGGCCACATACTATATACATCACAGTGCAAGTGACATTGCTTTATACTCAGTGTGATGTGAATATCTATTAGTAGGAGATTATATGTATAGTATGTGATATTAGGCTAACTGGCAAAAACACACTAATTTTCTACAAATTATTAATTACTATAATTACTTAATCAAAATGTTTAATGTCTGATATATTAGTTGCTTTCTCTCTTTTATATAGGCCTATATATATATATTTCCAAATGAGGAGATTATTTGCTGGGCTTTCCTAAATGTCAACCTAAACTATGGTTATCACTCAGTATGAGTTAGTTGTTCTAATCCAGACAAAAGCCTTTTAGTGTGCATTTACTCTTTGTTTGACTTGTCAAACACAAGCAATTAAAACCAGACCCACACATGAAATCAGAGGGTGATTTCACTCACTTAGTACTGTCAGAGGACAAAAACTTTAATGGTAGCATGCTTCTGCTGGACATCTTAATTGTGGGGCAGCTGAAGGAGCAAATGATGTTGAAAGGATGGAAAGAAATGCAAAGTAATGTAGCCATTCCACATATGATATTTAATACCATAATGACATACTCTGCCCACTGCTCCACCCAAACACTGAATGAGGATAAGTGCTAAACATATATGACAAATGCATATGTCTAAAATATAAATTCATCCTCTGATATCTCTCCATGTGTCTTTGCATGTAGGTATACAGAGTTTGTTTTCATTTGTATAATGTGGTTTTTGTGATGGGATGTAAAGCTGAGCAAGCATGACACATGGCATTAAAAATATATCACACACCACGGGAAAATATGCAAGTTGAAGTATGCAAAAATCTCTAGTGGAAGACACATGTTACATATTACTTACTGGTGTGCACACGCACTTTGATTATCGTGTTAATTTGGGTGTTTTTGGCACACATATAGCCCAGAAAACAGCAACAGGAACATGTTTTCTATTCGACATGTGGTAAAATACTGACAAATTAATTACACATGTTTTAGGACAGATGTACTGAATTTTGCAATAAGTTGGTTTTCCATTTTGGGAGTGGGGTTGGTCTCCCTGGGACCCTCCACAAAAGTGTCCACTGGCTGGAGACGTGGCAGCGCCTCCGGTCATATGATTTTAGGTCACACACGAACCCCACCCCGTCATTGCCCCCCTGAAAAGAGTTTTTTTTAAATATCACTTCTCCGTTATTTTAGTGTGAAACGTCCGCCGAGATCTATAAAGTCCTGCAAAATATCCCCTGCATAACTCAGCACAAATAGTAGACACGGGATTTAGTGGCGGTGACCACCCAAAACAGTGCCATTTTTAGACGTTTACTGCTGACGTTTACAGAGGCTTCAAATAGCTTCCGTTTTACACTGGTAGTGATTGGACTGTTCTGTACTTACCCAGTGAGCTAACATATTGGTTGAACAAGTCCGACATTCTACACTTCAATGGAGGAACAGCCCAAAGATCGGGCACAAGAAAGACAATATCACCACCACGGAGAGGACAGACACTCTATTCAACATACAACTTGTCCAAAAAATGATCAGAGCCACTTCCAGCGCCAGCATCAGGAAACGCAGACGAAGAAAACAGGTTGGGCCATCCGGAAAAGTGAGCTAACGTTTGCTAGCCTTAGTCAGCTAATGTCAACGAGCCGACTAGCATTTGCTAACTAATGTTAACTCCACCGTGATTTACAGCGTAGCCCGCTAGCTATTAATTCAAACTATATGCTGCCTGTTGCCCTAAATATTTTAAGACACGTTACAGCTGGTGAGTAACGTTATCTAACAGACCATACTGATAGTTAGCCACTGTCGGGACCAGAATCCAACCATTAAGTTAGCTAGCTGGCTAGCTGACGTTGCGTGACAGTTGTCGCTGGTGGTGGTTTGACATATCGGGGATTGACCTTGTGCGCCGGTTTCACCACCCATTTTTCTTTTGCAAATGCAACTAAATCATTGTAGAAAATCCTACTAGCATGCATTGTGTTGTAAACTCATTAAGTGTTAAATGTGCACGATGATTCGCTCTCAACACAAGTCAGATCTTTGTCTTGTTCCCTTCAGCATGCTTGTGTCCAGTTTAGGAAAGCGAGCCGGCTCCACTGGAATGTTCTGAGCTGCCATTTCCTGTCGGCCATGTTAGAATATCACTGCGAGCTAATGCTAAAGTTATCCGGCTAGTTAAGATTTTTTGTACAACCACGGTACTGTGCAACAGTGACACGCCGCTGTTGTCTTTTGCTTACTCTGGATACGGGTGTCAAGTTGCTGTCTCATGGCACAACCGACTATTAACGGTGACAGGGTGTGTTAATGCCCAGCGAGTCGATGGCTAGTTGACAGTGGCTAACGCTAGCCATCTCTGACAGGCCTGTTGCATGTTGTCCAGTCAACGTAAAGCCACGCAGCAACTCGGTCATGACTAGTAGATAAAGATACAATTTGCTGCAGCTGAACAGACAGTGTAATCATCGACCTTACGTTTGCTGGCAGCTATGTTAATGCAAACAGGCGACAGCCTGCTTCTGTATAATGAGTGAAGCGAGGCTGTATGCAGCCTGTTGTGTGCTGTGCCCACTGACATGAGGGGCAGCAGCACCATTAAATTGCAAGCCCCACGTTGACACAGCCATGCCCGTGCCTGTGTGCAATGCACAGACCTATTTGTGGTACACTGCCACTCCATGTCATACAT